ACATAACATCATCGCCACGGAACCAATGTTCGTCTCTAATTCTGACACCAACGCAGAAGTCTCCACTGGTAGACGCCTGCATGTACCACTTGTTTAGCAGGTACATTTGCGTCCCCAGATCAGATAAGGCTTGAGGGTTGTATAGACTCTGGCCTAGTACAAATTTTTTCTTCCAAATATCAACCTCCGCCGCACTCTCAATGTTTCCATCACCAAACAATTTTGCATGTTCTTTGTTTCTGAACAGACGTTTCAAGCGTGGTATTATAGGAGCATACCACATAACCTTGGCAGGGATTTTCTTCCGCGGACGTTCGCCCTCAACATCACCAGGGTCATCTCGCTTTGATCTTATACCGCATGACGCATGGCATACCGGGCATGCATCCAATTTCTCGTACTCTTTGCCACGCAGACAGATGATGCGATCATTAGGACATGCATGTATCTTCTCTATTTCTAGCCCCATAGGATGTACAACTTGTTTTGCTTTTGTAGGTAGTGGCGGGCAATTCATTATCCTTCGAAGCATCTTCTTTTGAATTTTTAGTAACTCTCCAAATCCCTTGTTAGATACACCATTCTTTGCCTTCCATTGCAAAGCAATTCTAGTGTGGTTCCTAACTTTTTCTCGCCTCGCATCACAAGTTGGGTACAACAATTTCTTGTGATCTTCTAGCATCCGCTTCGAACTTGATATTCTCCTTTTCACTTTCACATTCTCTTTGTGCGTCACGAATGACCCGAGAAAGATCATCACCGGCTCATCTTCTGCGGCTACCTCTTCTTCACTTCTCCCATTGCAAATATCATTGAAGCACGCACCATCGGGAATAATATCATTGTCGTCCCATTGTTCTTCTTCACCTTCTTCCATTACAACACCGGTTTCTCCGTGCTTTGTCCAACAAATATAGTTTGGCATGAAACCCGACTTGAACAAGTGTGAATGAAGAGTCCTTGAGCAAGGATATTCCACCGTATTCTTACATATGGCACATGGGCAGCACATTGAAACCATCACGTTTGTTTGCCTCGGCCAAGACGTAACAAAAAGAATGCACGCCATCAATGAACTCTTGGGAGCGGCGATCAACATTATACATCCAATGACGGCTCATCTGCATTACATGACATAAATACCATATTAAAACCTAGATCATAATTAATTATTTATACAACATGCGTGCCACCACAAAAGATACAAATTTATAAAAGCATCGCTACAATGTAGACAATCCCAACTACCACTAAAAGAACTAAAGCTAAAATACATTTCAGATGGCGGTAGGATTTCACGACCAATCTCAACTAAAAATGCACAGATCCCCGATTGTGCAACATCTTTGGGCTTCTTCGGCTGGATCACCGCCTTATTAGCCGTCAGATTCGCCTATTGTGCAAGATATTTTTGCACGAGTCCAACCCACTCTTCCTCCCAAAGAGAAGCCCGAACATCGTCCACCGCCATCCCACTAAAATTAAAACAAAAATTAGAACTTTAATCACAACCATCATGAAAATAGGTATAAACTAACCATAATCATTAAATACGATAAAATAACTCACATTGCGATCCGGACACTTGTAGAAGATACGATCCTTGTTGGGACCCTCCTTCTTCAATCGGTACTCCATCACAATCTTCGCCTCATCACGACACTTGCCGCATGAAATGAGAGGAGGCCCGCCTAAGTCGCTTTGGAAACCCATGAGAGGCGAGGACCCGGAAGCGATTGCCATCTACTCTCTATACTCATTTTTAATACACTATATATTTCTCCTTTTATAAACAAATAAAATTAAGAAACTATAAAATTATCTAGATCTCTAAACAATGATATTTTTAATGGTCATTGTGTTCTCGCCTTTTATCACGGCGGGTAAGTAATTCACATGATATTTCGCAAATTAACGTAAGAATGGGAGTGTACACACATAATGCATCATCTGCGACAATATCGGGATGTGTGAATAAATAACCATCCATACTAGTTGACCTTGCTTACGTGATCATCTCGGCGAGCATTTCTCCACCGGAAGGCACCGTGATTTGGCCACGGAAGAGCTCCAATTCTACGAGGAAGGGAACACGGTCTTCCACGACCGCTGCCGCTCTCCCTCGTAGAATCAAAGCTCCTCCTTGACGTCCGTTACCGCTTTCGGCGGAGAGAACGTGCTTCGCCGAGATGAACACGGTCCGCAAGTTCAACTAGTATGGATTTTCTATAATTTTCTAACTATTTTCTAAGTTTATATTTATATATATACTACGTTTGGGTATGGTGATTGATGTACTACTGCGACGATATCGTGACATGTGAATAAATAACCATCCGTACTTAGTTGACCTTGCTTACGTGATCATCTCGGTGAGCATGTCTCCACAGACGGCACAGCATTTGCTTGACCACGGAAGAGCTCCAATTCTATGAGGAAGGGAACACGGTCTTCCACGACCGCTGCCGCTCTCCTTTGTAGAATCAAAGCTCCTCCTTAACGTCCGTTACACTTTCGGCAGAGAACGTGCTTTCGCCGAGATGAACACGGTCCGCAAGTTCAACTAGCTACTTTAACCTTATTTCATGTAAATATGCAAGCTTGAAGTGATTTTGAGCTCAAATTGCTTACAAATGAAAAAACCAAAATAAAGAACCATATATATATATATATAGTGAACAAAATGAGATAAGACAATGGTGAAAAATGAGAGTATGAGATTGGTAACCTTTACAACTGAAGAATCGACGGAGAAATCAAGAAATCGATGGAGGAATCGAATAATGGATGGAGGAACAATGGAGGGAGGGAGGAAGCAAGAACACTACTGCAGTGAGCTTCAAAATGTCTTGAGCTCGGGCTCGGGGAGGAAGGAGGAGCCGGCGGGATATAAAGGGGGACCTTTAGTTCCGGCCGGTGGCTCCAACCGGGACTAAAGGTAACTTTCCAACCCCGGCGCAGCCACGGCCCGAGAGTAGACCTTTACTCCTCGTTGGAGCCCCCAACCGAGAGTAAAAGATATTTTAGTCCCGGTTGGTGGCTCCAACCGGGACTAAAGGTCCCTCGCCACCTCCTGCCTCTGCAAGCGCAGTAGTCCGTTAGGGGGGGATTTAGTCCCGGTTGGAGACACCAACCGGGACTAAAGGTATTTCTAATCCCGGGCGCAAAAAATTCCGGGACTAGAGGCCATTTTGGCCGAGGATCAAAGGCCTGTTCTCTACTAGTGTCAGGTGCCTAAACATTCATTACAATTTCTCCAAATCTCAATAAAAATTTTGGAGTTTTCGAACTGCCTTGAACAGAGACATGCTCTATAAAAATTTTGTAGTCCTCGTAGACATCAACAAATTTGTATGTCACACCTTTGCCATTTTGGATCATAAGTTTGTAGTTGATAACTTTGCCTTCACGGAACATTTAGTGGCCCAAATATTAATTAAAACCATGATGGGTCGAAACTTCTTATTTCCACAAATGCTTGCCAAGAGATAGTTGTAAACATCATCTCTAAAATTAATTTAGCCATCTCCACAAATTGTTTATGTAGCAGTGCTGACTTTGAATAGGATTATCCATTTGACCCAGAATAATAAGCATATTTTGATTTGGGAGAAGCCATATGGAATAGATAACCAGCTAAAATTTCTATTGTAATATTTTATCATTTGCTAAAATATAAGTATCATATCAGAGGTACTTTGAATAAAGATGTAATAATGCTAATTTTATGCTCTAAATTTATATATAATCCGACTAATTTTTGTTCTAGGTACCCAAAATTTGACTTTTCTCCATACAAAATACACTTATCATTCTAGAACTGAGGGAATACAATACAGTTTCAAAGGAAATTGCTACTTAAAAGGTTCTTACTTGAAATCTTGATGTTCAAATTAATAACACATCTAATTTATTATCTCGAAAGTTCAAAGTTAAAGATATATTCTAGCTATAGCTAGTACTCAAGTCGGGAGGAGTTTATTACATTACAAAATTATATAGCTAGTACTCAAGTCGGGAGGAGTTTATTACATTACAAAATTTTGAACAATGCTGCAGCAAATACTACAAAAACTTCTATTATACAGTAAGTCTAGTCATAATGCATTCATATTCACCAATTATACATATACAGATGTCAATGAATGCGAACATCCAGAATTGAATTCTTGTCCAAGTGGCAGCGAATGCATTGACACAGAAGGTAGCTACAAGTGTCGATGCAAACTCGGTCGGAGAGGAAAGGATTGTCGTCCCATATTTCCCGCCCCTGCTGCTGCAATATTAGGTGAGCAGAGAAATCACTCAAACGATGTTTGAATTTTAATCACTCATATGATCATTGAATTTTCTAATAGTAGTCCTCCTCCATCCCACAGTAAATTAACTTCTAGAGGCTATTCTAAGTCAAATTATCTTAAGTTTGACCAATTTTATAGAAATAAATAACAACATTTATGACCCTAAATGAATACATCATGAATTTATATTCCACAATGTACATAAATTTTATGCCATAAATACTTATGCTCATTTGGTCTAACTTTTGGATCTTGCGACATAGATAAATTATATAAATTGATTTATTTTGGGATGGAGGGAGTGGTATATCAAAAGTATCATGGATTTCTCATTTTGTATGGTCCATCATTTTTTTGGTTCATTCAGATTCTACTAATTAATATATTCTTTTCTACAAGGTGTAAACATTGTCTGTAATCAAACAAATTCCTTCAAAAAAATTTGTAAGGTTCACAGTCGAAAACTGTAGTAGAATTTTCTTGGTTGCAGAACAGGCATGGTTAGAATTTTCTCAGAAAGCATGATTATATATGAAAGCATGATGTATATATACTAAGAAGATTGTAAGAGTGTTGCCTTACTGTGCAGTTTACACACGAAAATCATAGACGCATGGCATGCATTAGCATGCAAATTGAAATTAATTTAATGCAGTAGGATTCTAATGTCGCATACAACTATCGCCATTAAATGTGTGGATGCACCTGTACGTGTTTGCAGCAACACTGGTCGCAAGCTCTTGTCTGGCACTCCTGCTCTGGTTCATCTACAAGGATAGGAAGCGGCGAATAAAGATAGCATGCTTCGACAAAAACGGGGGTATTATACTGAAGGAAGCAGCTGCCATCGTAATATTCACAGAAGTTCAGCTGAAGAAAATAACTAACAACTACAGTACCCGCATCGGAAAAGGTGCCTTCGGCACCGTATTCTTGGGAACAATCGACGACAAGCAGCGAGTTGCAGTTAAACGATCTAATGACGAAGACAACAAAGGAGGTCGAGGTCCAGTTCAGCAAGGGGATGACTTTGTCAATGAGATCACCTTCCAGTTCCGAATCAGCCACCCAAATATGGTTCGCCTTGTTGGGTGTTGCTTAGAGACAAATATTCCTGTCCTGGTCTACGAGCATATCAGTAATGGGAGCCTCTACAACCTGCTTCATGTCAATAGGGATAAGGTGCTCCCGCTGTGGACTCGACTCAACATTGCCATTGGCTCTGCAGAAGCTCTTGCTTATATGCACTCACACGGTGACCAGGACCGCATCCACGGTGATGTCAAATCTGCCAACATCCTCCTGGATGACAACCTGATGCCCAAGGTCTCTGACTTTGGATCGTCCAAGCTTTTGTCAGTTGGTATGTATGCCAGGGCTGTGGCCGCAGATATAAGTTATATAGACCCAGTGTATATGAAGACACATCGTTTTGTGGCGAAGAGTGATGTCTATAGCTTTTCAATTGTTCTTCTTGAGTTGATCACCCGGAAGACGGTCAACTATGGCCAAGATAACACCAATAGCCTCCCCATGGACTTTTCCATGTTTTTTAAGCAGAAGGGCAATGGAAGGGAGATGTACGACAGAAACATTTTATCTCATGACGGTGCTCAATGTCAATATTGCATAGAGTGCCTTGACAAGATAGGTGCTCTGGCGATTCAAAGTCTTAAGTATGATGTCGACGAGAGACCGACAATGGCTGAGGTCGTGAATGAATTGAGCAAAGCAGCCAAACTACTGGATAAATGCAAGCAACTACCCTGATGAAGAAAGCAATAGTGCAAGCATGCTTGGTCAGATCACGTTCTCTACTTTCTAGCGCTATTTGGCTATTCAAGGAATTGTACTATATACTTTTATTTTCTGTATGAGAAGGGTGCAATAATTTGTCTTACTTTGCTGTATTGTAGAATTCGACATATTCAGAAAACATTGTATGTTTGATATGTGAACTATACAATTCTACATGTGAACTACCAAATTGGGTACCTGACGCAATCTAGCCGTTGAAACAAGAGAAATTTGGTCCTCTCATTAGGCGTCAACAAATGTGCTGGTTAGTTGGACTTGGCTCAGAATTCAGAGGATGCAGCAGCATTGCATCCCAGTAATTGGAGTGCAGATCGACCACATCATGGCGGTGAAGATCGACCCCATCATGGGGGTGATGAAACAGATTGACAACGGTGCACGGAATCAGTTCCCCCCACCCCAAAAAAAACGGTGCAGGGAATCTCTTCAGAGCTGCAGTCTAGACCAGCACCACATTCAGCTAGAATATAATTCAGATGTACTAGTCCATCAACCCATGTGACCAGATCCTAACATATGTGTATGTTAAGCATCGGGATCAATGGTTCTCGACCGAAGAGACCCCTGACCGACCCCTCTAGGATCACCAGGGGGCTCGGGGCTATATCCATCGGGTACGTTCGCGCGCACCCTCAGACCAAGAAACCCGGCCGAGCCTGAGCACGCCACGGCCTCTGCTCAAGGCTCGGGGGCTCGCCCGAGCCTCAGGCTCCCAATCAACAACACGCCCGAGCCCGACCCTTGGCTCCTGCCCGGCCTACGATGCCAGCCAAGGCCCGGGCGCAAGAAGACATGCCCCGAGCCATTGAGGCTCGGGGGCTCCCCGGCGCTGCACCTTGGGTGCGGCTTTTTTGTGTTAATCCAGAAAAACAATGGGGCTGGAGCTGAGTGCACCGCTAAGCCAACTACTAAGCCTGCCACTATGGTCTGAGCCATCGCCTCCTCCTCCTCCTCCTACGACAAATCAAGGCTAGGGCACTCTACTCAGCATCTCCCTTGGCCGGATCTTGCTAGATCAGGGACCTCTGCGGCCACACCAGTCGTGCCTGTCGATGCCACCACCCGCTTCTGGCCCTCAACTGCTCCTACTCGTTGGAGCCACACCGGATCTAGAAGCTAATGCCTCATAGGCTGCGTTGAGAGGAAGAGAGAGTGAGGGAGATGGAGAGAGGAGAGAGAGAACGAGTAGAAGAGCGCTACCGGGGAATGAGTTCCCGAGAGGGAAGCATGCTGCAGATCTAAGGGCGGAGGGGGAGCACGCCGAAGATCTTGGAGTCAATGTTGCCGCAGGAGGAGGGAGACACTGCCACAAGAGTTGAAGATGCCATGCGATGGTGGTGCGGAAGATGCCGCCATCCCTGTATCCAGAGACGTGGGCCTTGGGGGCCACCGCTGCCGCCTGCGTCATCTTTAAATCTTTGAGGGAGGGAAGCAGACCAGAGAGCTTGATAATTTTCAAAACCGTTAGAGTTAGATGGAGACCAGAGATCCCAAGATGGACGCTAGGGTTTGCTTGCATTACATGCTCTCAACTCGATATCAGGCTGAGATGTGTTACCTCTAAAGAGGTAGACATCTTAAGAGGGAAAAAAATTGGGTGAGGACAAAGAGGTAGACCTCTTAAGAGGGGAAAATTGGGTGAGGACAAAGAGGTAGACCTCTTAAGAGGGAAAAAAAATTGGGTGCGGACCTTTCATACCAGGACGTGGTGACGACTGTGCAACTGAATTGTGGGCCACAATATCATTTAAAACGTACACATGGTGAATTAGTTGCTCCATGGGCCACGCGTTAGCCATACATCTGTACGGTGTCGTGGTAGGGATGGTCCTTCGAATTTTTTTCCCTTAAGAGGCCAACCTCTATTAATCGATTTACAGGAACAGGTTTTATTGGAGTGCCTCCTAAAATTGGTTGGATATCTCTATAATGCATTAGAGATTTCGGGAGACACCAAAATTTTGTCCTCCTCTGGAAATAAAATGGCATGCATCCTAAAATCATTATTTGTTGTAGTGTTGGTATTTTGATTATAAGCACTCACGGTTTATTAAACAATGCATATAAATCTATTATACAAGAAATTCAATATGTTGAGTGTGACGGTGCAAAGTGATGGACTATTAACGCTATTGTAAGAAACAAGAAGGTAACCTACGATCTATAATCTTTTTTATTACTATGATAAAACCAAGAAATTTAAATAAAAGCTACAATAAATAGTAGAGTGTCAACTTAACATGTATATAAAAAATTGCAGTAATCAGATTAAAACTTGAAAAGTAAAGTATAGATTCATGCTATCATAGCAAGAGAGACTGCGGGCGTGGTGCTATGCACACAGGAGCGACAATTGGACTGGCATCTCGGCCGCTGGAGGCCGGTTGGCAGCGCGCCGGAGGGGAGGGGCGGCGGTTGGAGGCTGGCCAGAAGAAGAGGGAGGCGGGGCTGCGGTGGAGGAGTGGCGGGGACCGAGGCCGGTCACCGAGCTACAGCGAGCCAAGAGCGGAGGGCGGCACTTGAATGCGCGCCGGAGGAGAAGAGCTGTTCAGGGAGAAGCTAAAGCCAGCCAACGGTGGTTCAGAGCAGGGAGCCGGCGGCGCAGAAACGAGGCCGAGGGTGGCTCAGAGATGTGGCCGAGCAATGGCGACATGGGGCGAGAGACATAGTGTGGTCGAAGCCGAGGTAGAAGAGGCCAGCGCAGAGGTGCAGGAGGAGCTGAGGTCGGAGCTCGAAACAGCGACGCCACGAGCGAGGCTGGCACGCAGAGCGGTGGAGGTGGCCGTGCGATTTGCTTCTGGGTTCTGTCCGCCCATGGAGTAAATATTTTTATGCCTCTCGATGGCAGAAAAAGCTATCAAGATTTTATTTTAATTTAATATAGATTTAACAGGATATTGTGATACCAATGTTAACTTACACTATGAATCCATCATAAAATAAATTATAGTTTAAAATTTTTATTGAAATAACAAAATATAAATAATTAGGTATGTAACACTCGTGTCTTCATTTTCGTTCATGTAGTTTTTTTCCTCCCGTTGCAACGCAGGGGCATATTTGCTAATAAATAAATAATATATAAAGCTAATCAATAAACTGGGACCTCTGGATTCATCGTTTCTCCTACCAAAACAGTGGGAAACAGAAAAAAAAATAATTCAGTTGTGAGCACTTGTTCAGTACGGAGCTAAAATTCTAATGTCAATTTCTAGATAGATGATGAGGTATAGGGATAAAATGCCAAGGTAGTAAAACAGGGCACATTATTAGCAGGACTAGGTTAACCCACGACCGGTCGCGCTTCAGGAGAAAAACTTGCATATGTTTCGAAGGATTTTATTTTAGTAGCAATTTATGTGTAATACGTGCTAAGAGATTTATTAAATGAATTACTACCATGTAATATTAAAGTTGCTACTCCAAAATACAGTAAAGTTGTCACATAATATGCACAAGCTTGGGAGCAAAATATTAAACGGAGTTTTACTACCATGTAGTACTAAAGTTGCTACCATGTAGTACTCAACTTGAGGGACAAATTATTATAATAAGCATAAAACATTAAGCTGCCAACTCGGGCCAAGTTATTCTACAACCCAATTTGCGACCCCTAATTCTGATACCTGCTGCAACCTGTAATCCTAATACTTGTTGCGACCCCTAATCCCAACCCAATCTACCTTGTGTGTATGTGCTTTTCTTTTATGGCAATTTTATGTGTGCAATTGCTACCCTTATGTGACAACTCATATTTGTAGGTGAGGCAACTAATATGCAGGATTTAGGAAAGCATTCGAGCCTAAAAAAAAAGGTGATCGAAAACTGAAACTGAAAAAATATTAAAAAAAACTGGACTGAAAACTGAAACTAAAAAACATTAAAAGAAATTTGACTGAAAACTGAAACTAAACAAACACTAAAAAAACAAGACTGAAACTGAAAAAATGAAACATAGAAATAAAACTAAAATTGATAACAAGAAGATCAAATTGAAATTGACAAATATATAATGAAAACCAAAAAAAAAAGAAAATGAAAAGAAATTAAAAAGAAAAGGTAAATAAAAGAAGGATAAAAAAATAAAAGAATAATAAAAACTAAAGGAAAAAAAACTGGGCCAGGCCGCAGGCCGCACAATAACATTCGTGTTCATGTAAGGCATATGACTTTCTCAAGCTCATGCATTTGAAGCAAACCCATTGGAGCTTTTATGTTTATTTTACATGGGCTGACCCACACATGTATCGGAATGGCAGGTCAGGCCACCGGGTCAAATACCGCGGAGGTCGCGCGCTACGCGAGTAGCGCGACCGGCAGCGCAATAACTTTTGCGTTATTAGTAACCGTCGTAGCGACGCCCATCAGCTTGAAAACTTAAATATTTCGGCCCACAGATGAATATAGCCCGGATGTTCTAAGCCTGGTCCGTAGATCCATAATCGTTGGAAGGGCTGAAAATAAGTGGTCTGCGGCCCAAGGATATAGCTCTTGATCATCTTTACGTCAGATCAATATTTTTTTTCTCCTAAAAAAAAGATCAATATCTATTTTTTTTCTCTGAGTAAACAATGATCTTGTCAGAAATAAAAATAAAAATAATGGTAAATGAATCCTACGGTACCCAGGAATCACCAGTCGGACGTGATTAAACTGCCGAGCGTCCTCTTGATGGGCTGGCATTGGACCACATGGCCATAGTACACGGGTAGAGAGCATGGTGCACCTAGAGGCTAGACGGGGACCCAGTGGGACGCACACAGCCACACTCACGCCCGAGGGCCAGGCCTGCTTCATCTTTTTTTTTTTCATTTTTCTTTCTTTTGTTCTAGTTTTTCCTTTCTCTTTCCTTTTCTGTTTTATGTGGATTTTTCTTCATTCATTTCCTGGAGCATGTTTGGGTGCTATTTGCTGGTGGAGAGGTTTGTGCTCAGGAGGATGGATGGCACCGT